CTAACTAATAAAAAGTACCATGGTAAAGTTGTTTTTATGGTAAAGGTATGGACACTAACTAAAAAAAGTACCATGGTAAAGGTATATTTATGGTAAAGCTATGGACACTAACTAATAAAAAGTACCATGGTAAAGTTGTTTGGTAAAAGGTATGGACAACTAACTAAAACGTACCATGGTAGTTGTTTTTATGGTAAAAGGTATAGGTACAAACTAAAAAGTACCATGGTAAAGGTATATTTATGGTAAAACTATGGACACTAACTAATAAAAAGTACCATGGTAAAGTTGTTTGGTAAAAGGTATGGACACTAACTAAAAAGTACCATGGTAAAGGTATATTTATGGTAAAACTATGGACGCTAACTAATAAAAAGTACCATGGTAAAGTTGTTTGGTAAAAGGTATGGACACTAACTAAAAAGTACCATGGTAAAGTTGTTTTTATGGTAAAAGCAGGGCTGGGCGATATAGTTAAAAAAATTATCACGATATAATGTTTCATATCGTTCGGTATCGATAATTATTGACTTTTTTTTATAACCTTTCTTAAACAATGAGCAGTAGAAAAAGGGTTTAAATTTAACCACTGTATTTTTAATTTACCCAATTTACTAAAGATTTTAGTAAATTGAAGTAAAAAAGTTTTAAGAGTCAAACACAAAATAAAATTGAAACAAATATCTCCTTTCTTATATTTTATATGCAGATGAAATAAGTGTTAAGGAAACATTTGGCTTGTCTCCTGAGGGCGCTATGAGCAAAATAAAGCACCTTATTAAACTGTTTATTCAATGCAATGAAATAACGACTGTCTATGAAAAAGTGCATACCGTCTAAACTAATATTTATAAATCAAATATAATTTAGTAAATTGCATAAACAATAAGAACAAAACAGCATCATGTATTTATGCATAGCTTAATACATATAGCCAAAGCGCTGATCACACGATTGCATTTAGAAACATACGAGACGCAGCGGAATGGAATAAAACCCCTTCAAACTCTCGAGACGTGTTTTCTAAAAGTTGAACCTCTTTTAACTTTACATGGCTTTCTATTCATCTCTTGTGCGAGACGCGAGTGTCATTTGAACTAACCAGTGAGGTGTCATTCATCACTAGTGCACTGCTGTTGGGAGTAGAACAGGCATTTACAGTATGTTGTCTTGAGTTTTATTAATTCTGTCTTTATTCTGCAGGTGATAAAGCATTTGCAGAGTTTCTCACTGATGAAATAAAAGAAGAAAAGAAGATCCAGAAGAACAAGAGTCTTCCTAAAATGTCCGGCGGCTGGGAGCTCGAACTCAACGGCACAGAAGCCAAACTCATCCGCTCGCTGTCCGGAGAAAAGTAAGGGTTGTGTGTTTCATCCATAGCATCAGAATCATATGCTAATAATGATGCAAGCAACATGATGGCCATTTCACAGCTTAAAGGCTGATGCATTATGGCACACATGCCTTATTGCTTTAT